AAAAAAAAAAAAAAAAAAAAAAAAAAAAAAAAAAAAAAAACCTCGTTCGGTTTACAAACGGCGTCGTATTGGAGATTAGGTTTGTTGGAGATGTTCTGTTCTCCTAGTCCGAGCGTGTAGTTACACCCACGCATCTCGTTATCTATAGTACATAACATCTTCTTCCCTAACGACTCCGTTTTACGCCACGTGGCTAGCTGTGGTAACAAGCTGAGAGAGCTTCTAATATTAGATACTGGAGCTGATTGATCTGTTTCACTGATTGTTGCTATGAGTTGGATCTGATTCGTGACGAGAGAATCTAACCTTCGGTTCCATTCGTGATGGTTGATGTACGGTCTTGTATCGGAAGAAACGGTTAAAATTAATCTGAAAGTGATCTCTAAAGCTTGGAGAGACGGTTTGAGGATATTCTCGTTGGACCAGTGAGGGAAGTCACGTGATGACGACCAGAGTTTATTAAGCTCAGGGAGACGGAGGTAGTGCTCGTAAGCGGAGCAAGATGCTGGAGAGGAGCATGAGATGGGAGAAGAGACAGCAAGAACTTTGAACGGGGAAGGAATAGTGACGTGAAGCTTGGTTGGTAAATCTGATGACATCATCTTCCTCTTGCAATCTGTATCAACCATTTTAATCTCTATGTCTTTTTTTTTTTTTTCTTCTCGAAACTTTGTTTGGTATTATGAGTAGAGGAGGAGAGGAAGAGAGTATAAATATAGAGAAATGGATTAGGGAAGGGGCAAAGACGTGTGAAAGTCAACGGTCTTTTTTTGTCTATTTAACTAAATTTAATATTTTAAAATCTAATTTCAGACCAGTCGTTGGACTGTGTCCGGATTACTTTCAGGATAATTATTCTTTTCTTTTTTTTTGGTTTAAAGGATAGGATATATACTTTAATATCTCCTATTATTATGATGCGATAATAACGTAATTAAACATAAAACTGAATATCGTTTGTTAACTACAGCTATTGATCGACAACTACAATTTCAGCCAAGCGGCACATGACATGGTGTTTTGAGTAGTATTAGTATAAACAATCTATATGCCATGTGACATTTTAACACATTCATTGAATCGAATATAAAATCGCGTATGTGTTCTAAAACCACTAAGAAAACAAAAAAGAGAAGACATTTTTGGTGTATATTTGATTGGGAACGTGAACATCGAATCAAAGATTTGAGACTGCTTTTTAATTTATGAAACATGCTTCTTTAAAGTTTAAAGACAAATTCTTTTTCTTTTTAACAATAAGGTTAAATACTATTGATAATTAATCTCAGAAGATCAAAGTTAGTAATTGTGATTATTTTAATCAATAATCTGCAATCGACAAAACAAAATTCATATAAAAAGTGATTAGTTTAGTGCCGTGGTATGAAAAAAAGGTAAAGAAGACAAAGAAAGGGCACATGGACAGAAGTAGGAGGAATATAGATGCGATGCTTATCCAAAATAATGTGAGGAAGGTTGGAGTTTGGTCTCAATTTGCTTTCAAGTAGTTACTACTAGGAAGTTGTGGTTTCCTTTGACTTTGGTTTTTCTAAGAATACTAGCTAGTGTCTGATATTTAATGGAATATGTTTAAATGCATGTATGTACTCTGTTGTGTTGGTGACAATAACTTTAGTGGATGTTATTCTACCGGTAAACCAGAGAATAGTGAAATTTAGTTACGTTCCACTGTTCACTTATTTAATACTAGTCGCTAAACTATTGCATTTAAAACTAAAATAACTATGAAAACTTGAAAAGCATGTGAATAAGTTTATACTCCCTCCGTTTCATATTAAGTGTCGTTGTAGAGAATTTTTTGCGTTATAAAATAAGTGTCGTTTTCGGTTTTCAATGAAAAATTTATTAATTTTATCATGTAATCTGTTTTTCTATTGGTTAAAATATGGTTAGGTGTATGGGTAACTGTGTTTTTATATAGGAAATATGTAAAATTAATTGTTTTCTTAATCCGTATGCACAGTTGTAGAGTGACACTTATAATGAAACAGAGGGAGTATATTGTTTTCTTGTTCTATATCTTTCCTTAGATGCTTTCTTTCATTCCTTTCTTAACTTTGAATTCAACTATCTTAATAAGCCATCCCTTGAGGACAAATAAAGTTAATTATTGCATAGTACATATACAAGAATATTATCTCATCCACATATTTGGTAAATGGTTGTCTGATAGATAAACCTCGCAATTATTCCATTTAGATACCAATGTTTTTTTTCTTTTCATGTAAACCATCAATGTGAAATGATCATATGGAATAAGCAACCACGGATCCATTCAAATCACACACATAAGCATTATTTATACGGTCAATGAATAATGTTCATTATAATTTATGTATATTGTTTCCATTTTTGATATGTTTAAGTTCACTAAATTTGTTTTAGCTTAAATAACACGTCTTATAGAGCTTGGACTCGTGTAATATTTCATTCACGTGCAAACACTTAACGAAAAAAAAAATAGAAAAGAAAACTGGATTTTTCAATTACATATACTCACCCGTGTTATAAACGTATATACATAGTGATATTACGTTCTTCTCGAAAAAAACATTTTATATTTCCAAAATATGCATCTATCAAAATCAAAAACATGGATAGAATATAGGATGGTGTTATAAAACTTTTTTTTTAAACACCGGATGGGGTTATATAACTAAATATTAAAAGAAGAAGTGTTGCTTGTTAGAATTCTTTTCAAGTTCACGATAAGTCTTTCCTACTCCTTTTAAAAGTTTATTTCTTCTTTTTAACAAAGAAAAAGTTTATTTCTTCTTTATACATGTAGCCTTTTCTTTATACCTTGTTTTCTCAAACGTTATTTATACGGAAAGAAAAGCAGTGACCCAGATCCTCCTATACTCCTTTAGAAAGAACACAAGAATGATTAATTGTTTGTTGGTATTTCACTAATTAACGTTGTAAGAGAGAAAACACATTAGGCAGACAGTATCATTCATTGCATGGTTGATATATGAGATGGCTACATAGTAGGAGTAGAAGCAAACATTTGAATTTACACGTTTGTTTGCATCTATGGTGGAAAAATACACTATGTACTTATATACTGATCAAATCGTTTCCTTTTCCTTCATTGTCGACTTGAAAATGTCTAATCTCTTTTTATCCTCAACTAGGAAAAAAACTATATTAAAATCTGATTTTATGGTATTCCATAAAGATAATACTGTGATAGATGTTGATAACGAGTCTAAATCGGGGCCTAGCTTCCATCCGTTTTGGCAACCAACCAATCAGGTGGTCTCGCACGTAAGGAAACGACATGTGGGATTCGTCATGCGCTATTACCAACTTAGTCCAAACTCTACCGGTTCCAGAACATCTATCCACGTGGTAAGACAGCTGGAATGCTGATTGGCTGACAAGTCTGTCTACGCCGCTGATTACTCCAATTACTATAATCATTTTTCTCTTTTTTTTTCTTTCCGGTGCGTCGAATTATAACATCCTAATAAATGTAACTACAAGCAAAGCAAATATTATTAGTGAATGAAACAATGATCAAAATGGTACAGTAAGTAGTAACCATCATGCTTCCTTTTCTTTCAAAATAATGTTGATTTGATTTGATTCCTTTTGATTAATTAGAGTTGCAGGATGTATTATATACTACTTTGTATTAACTGTATTGTTGGGACAAAGACAACAATGGATTTGGTTTGCTTAAATAAACTTGTTGGATACAGTCATGATTATTGTTTATGAAAATATAAATCAAAGAATAAAGGAGTTGGAAATAAGTCAACAAAGGTTCAGCTAACAAAATAAAACAGGTTTCCTGGGGACGAAGCATGTCTTCGGCCGCATTATCCGACCATTATCCATTCTTCTCTATCTTTATTTTTCTTACTTGAATTTCTTATAGATCAAGTAATTGTAAATGATTAACATTATTTTATTTGATTTGGGTACATCTGAAACGGAGTTATAGTCTCGTCGTAGGTGTATACCCACCTCCTAACCTAGTTCTACAGTCTTACTTTTAGTTGAGTCTTGTCTAAACATAAATTCTCAATGGTCTATTAGCTACGACATGTAAAAAAGCATATCAAATAAACAACTAAAATATGCAAACGAAAATTATAAAACAATAAGACGAATTTAACAGAAAACGATATCTGAACAACCAAATAATTTATTATTACCATGATTTTTTTTGTAACTACTGTTATTTAACTTGGACTAGATGGCATGATTTGAATAAAATTTAGTAAGGGCACCATAAACTAAACCAGAGCCTATTGGAGTTACAGTTTAAGAGATGTCTTAAAGAACCTTTGGTGTATCGGAAGTTAGTGTCTGGTGAACTTCTTATTGTTGCTGTGTATGTGGACGATCTATTTGTCACAGGATCGAGTTGTAAAATAATTGAGGAGTTCAAGAAAGAGATGGCTATGGATTTTGAGATGAGTGATTTGGGAAAACTTACCTATTATCTTGGCATCGAAGTAAAACAACATAAAGAAGGTATAACCCTGAGTCAATATCATTATGCAATGAAGATATTTGAAGAAGCTGGGATGGAGAATTGTAATCCAGTTCAAACCCCGATGGATGCTGGACTTAAGCTAGCCAAGTTCGAGAATGAGAAAGATATTGATGCGACAAACTACAAGAAAATTATTGGCTGCTTCCGCTACTTGCTACACACTAGACCAGACCTATCTTACTGCATTGGAGTACTTAGCAGATACATGTCAAACCCGAAGGAGTCACATGGAGTTGCAATAAAACAATGTCTTCGATATCTACAAGGTACTACTACTCTTGGCTTAACGTTTGGAAGGTCAAAAAGAAACAACAAAGCTAGTTGGTTACAATGATAGTAGTTACAACATCCAGATGATGGTAGAAGTCCAATGGGTCATATATTATATATAGGTGAGAGTCTCATAACTTGGTGTTCTTAAAAACAGGACACAGTGGCTTTATCTTCATGTGAGGCTGAGTTCATGGCTGAGACTAAAGCTGCAAGACAAGCTATCTGGCTGCAAGATCTTCTTGGTGAAATCATGGGAATTCCATACGAAAGGACTTGTATACGGATAGATAATCGTTCAGCTATTGCACTCTCAAGGAATCCGATCTTTCATGGGCGAAGTAAACATATACATGCAAGGTATCACTTTATAAGGGAGTGTGTTGAGAAATAACTAATTGAAGTGGAGCATGTATCCGGTAGCATGCAAAAGGTAGACATTTTTAAAAAAGGCATTGGGGAGAGTCAAGTACAAAGAGATGAGAGAACTGATTGGAATTCAAGACTTAAAAGATATGAAGTTCAAGATTAAAGGGGAGACTGTTGAAGTAAGCTTGAAGAAAGCTTGAGAAACAAGTATTCTTAGCCCTAATAGATTTATGATTCTTAGAGATAATGATCAATATTGTATTTAGGAGTTATCTAAATATAAGTGATTCCAATTAGGACTAGGATATATGAGAACCTATATATATTGATGTCGAGTCAATGACATTGATAAGAGTTTGTGTGTTAGGTTTCATAGTTTAAGTTTTGAGTGAGTTTCTTAAGCAATAAGAAGAGTTAGTTCTTATTATCATTGATTCTTATACAAACTTTACACAATACTCCATAATGTAAGGAACCTGTTACGTCCCGTTTTGAGGTCGTAACCTACTTTCATCTCCGTAAGTAAAGTATCTGTTGGAAAATCGAAACTCTGCCACAAGAATCCACTACCCCTTTCATCTCTCCCCACCTATAAAAGATGAGACACAAAGAAGAAGTGGGTGATTCCAATTCTTAGATATTGAAACTATAGCTAAAACATAAGAATGTATCTTTCATGCTAATGAAATGGTTTTTAAGAGATTGTGAAAATGTGCAAAGATATATCCTTTGGCATTTTTTGGCTTCTTATTTTTTTTTTTTTAAACTCATTGTTAGATAAAAAAAACTTAAAAAACATCTTTACACATTTTTGGGGGGAACAGATGGGGAAGATCATTTATCAAAGTTTAGCTTCATGCAGCACATCTGTTCCTCCTTAATGAATATGAATGCCACAGTGTTAATTTGCTATGCATAACTGCAAAGAGTTCTCTAACATACATGTGACATGTCAGTAGAAAAAAAATATTTTAGATGATCACTTTACATGTCATACCAAATTGCATCACGAACGTACAAGTTGCAAGAATCTAACAACAAGCTTCATTAATGTCAACAATCATTTAAAATAGGCTCAAAATAGAATAAGTAACAAATAAAAAAAAGATGGTTAAATCTAAAAATTTAGTATTATTATTAGAGAAATTGCAGTAGAGACACATGAAAAAGACTCAAAAACCATAATTAAAACAACCCAAATGATGGGTTTTCTCCCACGGATTATTCTAAAGACAATCATTGCAATAAAACTAACATAACACATAATAACTTATCATAGGCATTAGATCATAGACTGAACCAGACTGATTCAAAATGTTCAAACCAGCCGGTCCAACTAAGAAAGATCAATTTGATGTTGGATAATTTAATTAGCTCTGGTTCCGGCACTACCACCGTCGTGTCCGTTATTTCCACCGTGAAACGCCGATGAGAAATTGGTGTTAAGGTCAGAATACATGGAAACAACCTTAGTGATGTTTCCATTGAGTTCTTGGATCAAAGCAACGTTCTTGGACATGTTATCAGCCATTCTCGAGTGGTGATTGTCGTTGACCTGCTGGATCAATGATCTGTTTCTGTCCAAAACCGATTGCACTTGTCTGAAATTTCTATCTAGATTCTCCCACATCGCCGGATCTTCTCCCCCTCCTCTTGGCTCCGCCTCTTCCGCCACGTTTCTCCGCCGCTTCGTCTCGCCGTTCCTCTTCATTTACGTAATCTCTCGTTCTAGCTTAGTTTCTATCGACAGAAGATTTGTTTATTTTATCTGTTTTCTTATTGTTTTTGTAGTTTCGCAACTCAAGAGAAATCAGATATTTATAGTAAATATCTTCCGCAAAAGATGATAAATGGACACGGAGACAAGTAGTTCAGTTTAATCACCAGGTGAATAGCCAGCGCGTGTAATTAAAAAACGTCTGTCTGGTCGAATATTGAAGAACACACGCGTGAGAAATTTGTAAAGATGAGAGTTCAAGGTGCGCAGTGATTGGTTGAGAGGAAAAAATATCAGAGCTTTTCTGCACTTTTTCTGATATTTAAAAAAAAAATATTTATCTATGATTCTCTATATTGAGAAATATCTCAAGATATTTATGGTGAAGTGAATATTTTACATGAATAAAGAGATAGGAGAAAAAACTATATTGTATATGACTGACTTGCCATGGTGCAGAACCATATTCCCATAATGCGTGAGCTCATTGTTCAGTTTTTAACACTTTATGGTGTTATTCGTTAGATATTTTAGCAACATTCAAACTAACATTTGAAATCATTTGTATTAAAACACCAGAATCAATGTTATTTGAACAATGATTTTGAAAAATCATTTAAAATATAAAGTTATTCAACTTATGATTTTAAAATATATTTAAATTCTACAGTTAATAAAAAAATATTTTAATTAGTTAATTTTTAAAAAAATTATAGTGATTCAATATTGTTTTTGTGGAATTTATTTTGTTAAAATATCAAAATCCAAATCATATAATTAAGATAAAATTCTCGAGTGTTTCGGATAAAACACAATAACTTCTAATTCATCCAAAATTTTATTAAAAATCAAATCACTTTAACTCAAATACTATATTGAATACAATCCTTACATAATCTGAGATGTTACAAAAATATTAAATTTGACAGCTTTCCATCAAAACTCAATTGTTATCAAAACATGATTGGCCACAATCCACATGATTAGGTTTTAGTTTCGATAAATATCACAATTTGATTCAACAAGTAATTGGTTTACTACCACAATCATCAAGGAAGAACCTAATCTTATCTTGTCATATCATCTATGAGATATTATATCACACAACCACACTATTGTATGTTAATTAATTACTACAAGATAGTGATATGATTCTGAACAGCATCATGCAATGGCAACATACAAACAACTCGAATCTTTAAAGAGAATTAAAGTTGATGAAACAACGAAGAAGCTTTTAGGGACCTCAACTTATTAAGATTCCTTGCGTTTTCTTCCCAGAATTGAAGCTCTCTGGAAACGAGGACCTCCGGTTCTCCATTTCCTGAAGGTTGTCATAGACAAGTGAGCTGCTTCGTACACTACAAAAGAAACAAACAATGATGTGTTACAGGTCAACAAGATGATGACTTAATTACAGAAAGAAAAAAACAAGAGTTAAACAGAGCTTTAATTACAGTTTGTCTCTTCTTTTGTCAAGAATGGCAAGAACTTGGAAGCTGTTAAATGAGTTGCAGTGAAAACTTTTGTCAGCCTCTCCTTGTATCTGATCTTAAACGCAGTTGATAGCAAGATCCCAATCGTTCTATCTGTAACTCTGTTTCCAGGGCAAAGAAACAAACATATTGTCAAAAGGTGGAGATGTAGACCAGACTAGTGAGATCACTGACAAAGATTTGAAGAACAGTTGCTTAAATTAAATCCCATTAATCTGTAATAATTTCTTTGAAACCGTTTCACAATGGAAAATCTCATGTGACAGATTGCAACTTAGGATGCGTCTTTGAAACACAGAGTACTTGCACTAAGAGCTAAATGCGACAAAACATAAGCTTACACACAGATCAAACGACACCGTGAAAAACCAAATCTTACTCTTGAAAAACCATGCGAAAGATCAACTATAATAAAATGGGGGGAAGGACTCACAATGGCTGTAACTTGCAACCAAATTCGTAAAAGTAAGGACATCGTGATCTAAGATCCACACACGCTGCATCAGCCTGTATTTCCAGCCTCGTCCTGCATAAACACACATAAAGCTATTGAAAGATCTTCTAACGGACAAAAGAAAAAAATGAAGTACTTAGGCAGATATTTTTTATTCTCAACAGTTCAAGAAGCTTCTAAATAAACACAAAGAAATAAAGAGTGCAGGAAAAATATCACTTACTTCTGGTCGAAACAGGCAGGAAGGTTAATGGAAACAGCTTGTCTCAAATGCAACTCATGAGCAAGCCAGAAGGGTAACTCCACTTTAGCTCCTTGTTCAACCTACAGGAAACACAAAGGTAACACTGAAAAAATAAAACTCAAACCACAAGACAATACAATTTTGCTAAAAAAAGAAGACTAACACAGCTAGTCTCAGCACTTGGATCAATAGTCACTCCATTTACTGGCTTATGGAATATTACAGGAGCAAACTGCAAGTAAAACCAAAACAAAACAAACAAAACAAAAATGAGAAGAGAGAAGAATAGTCTCTCAAGTAAGCAGAAGAAGAAGCTTGACCTCTTCCTCTATAAGTATGTCGTCAATGTCATAGTACTTGGCCATTCTCTAATTTCCTCCACAAGCCAAGCTTCAAAATTTCATCGAGAAAAATCAATTACATGTCATAAAATCAAGACCCATCAATCAGATTTTGACAATGCGTTATGCGATTCGAAAGCCCTCAATTTCAATTTTTAGGGTTTATGTAAAAGGGAATTGTGAATGTGAAAACGACACACAAAAGCGAATCGTTGGATACGGAGAGAGAGAGAGAGACAGAGAGAGTGAGAGAAGAGAAGTTTACCGTCGACGGTGTAATTAGCGATTTAGCGGTGGAGACGCTCACAGAGGATCGATTGGGAAGGAGTCGAAGTGTTGAGTGACGACTGACGAGAGAAAAGATGATGGCCACACGGTTTAATTGAGGTTTTCTCGGATTAAACCAAAATTAAATTCCGAACCGCCCTGTACCATCCTTGTTCAATTTTTATTTAAATGTTCAATTTTTATTTAAATGTTCAATTTTTATTTAAATGTTCAATTTTTCACCGTGTATGTCTAATCTATTAAAACATATTCCAAAATTTTTATATAGTTATCAATGTTGTCATTTAAGTTTTGGATTTATTCATATCTTACTAGAATATATGTATATCAATATAATTAAAATATGAGATATTTTTTGAAATCCTCTTGATTTACTTCCAGTATTATAAATGTTCTTATTTTTATGATTAACAATATTAATCAGTTTATTATCATTAAATATAACTAAATTTATATATAGTTTTTTTTTGTCAACCAATTTATTTATAGTTTTAATTTTAGTTTATAGATGAAAACTAAATTAGTTTTAATCTCTAATTATATTTTATGATAATTAGTATTTTAATTAATAAATTTACGAAAATAAATTCTAAAATATTTTGTTAGAATTTTTTTTAAAATATTCATTTTATTTCAAATAAAAAATAAAGATATTGAAAGATATTCTAATTAAATTAGATAAATTTCACACAGTTTCTGAGAAATATTTCAAACTAAAAACCAAAATAACAAAATTCAAACCAAACTTCAATTTATAACTAGCCAAACTATTAATATATTTTATAAACCAGAATTAAAAATTCACAGACAAACCAAAATCAAATCGAAAATCAATAAATACAATCTAATATGAACTGAAATTTTTTAAAATATCATCAATCATTTAATTGTAATTTTATAACATAAATTATAAATAATTATGTGCAACCGCGCGGTCAAAATCTAGTATGAATTACTTTGAAGCGAGGTTTAAAGCTTTGTGCTTTGGTAGGGTGAATCCCAAGCCTTTTTATCATAGCTACAACATTCACTTGAGTTCCATCCATGAACTCAATAGACCTGCAATAGCTCAAGTTCCAATATATTTTTAAGGCATAAACATATACTATGCAATATGGGAAGACCTTTTCATAAAAATATCCAAGCATACTAACGAAAATTTGATCTAATAGCTAAATTATTAGATTTTATAGTAGAGATTTAAGAGGTCATATATTCGTTTTTCATTATGAGTGGTGTGTTTTCCTTAATTAGACATGGTTTCGTCCTATATACCAACACACGCAACAAGAAGTCAAGAAGTGCATGTCAAAAGATGAATATATAAAGAAACACATACAAGGCTGTATAAACATGATGTCAAGAAAAATAAGAGGCTGTATAAACACATCGGATCAAACTATCTATCTTATGTTATGGATAAACTAATTAAGACACCGACCTTTGTTCAGCTTTCGCTCATTTCATCTAGCAACCACTTGTGTACATGAGCTATTGTAAGAGACATGGACGATGAGTTGTGTCTATAGGAAATGAGTAAAATAGTACTTTGGAGGGAGAGTGGGAATGCATGTCTTTGGTGGAGTTAAGATGTCTTGACTTTGGATAGATGCTTCTTCACTTCCTGTCAGTTTTGTAGGCCTAAACTCTTGACTTTCAGTTCCTCCCTATTTCTTTATATCTTTTGTTCGTAGTCTTTATTAATGAAAATTTAACTATTGGTTGGTGTGACATTAATAGTTTTCAACTTCATGCTCATGCGTAGTGTATTATCGTATATTATTGGAAACTAAATCTGACCGTTGCTACTCAAGAAACAAAACAAAATTACATCGATTTACTATTGTGTTAATGCATCAGTATACATACTATTGTTCGGTTCTCAACTTTGGAATGTGAGGCTGTGAGCTGCAGAATGTGACAGTTTGCTAATTATGTATTCCAGGTAAGGAATAAATGAACAAATTACTTAATCTGTGACTGAGTTTAAGTAAAAGTAATATATACAATTGTTTAACCTTAGTATGGTCAGCTCGCAAACATGATAAAAAGTGTTTCTATCAGAAACAATCTTAAAACGCGAAATCTCCAAATATGTTTGGCTCGACATTTATGCATTACATTTTCCATAAATTGACGAATACACTCACGCATAGATACGTGTAACTAGAGTTTTCTATGTTATATTTGCGTAATGCTAAACTGGCAATGTAATTTGACAAGCATATTCATATGCACCGTTTAACATAGTTTGATAAGACGACAAAAGCAAATGGAAGTTAGAAAAGAAAAAGCAATCAAATGTACAACGAAAAAAAATAGATGCACCTACATTATTTGATTTATTAAAAAAAAGAAGAAAATGTTAATAGCACCTTGAGATACGTTCGGCCTATAGGCAGGCATGTGGTCACATGGTGATAATCGGTCGGTTCCTCCATTCCCGTTTATGTTTGTGTTAACGAGACTCTGTTCATTTTCTCCGGTGGAAGGGGATGGGCATAGCTTGATTTTAAATGATGTCTTAAAAAGATAGCAATTGTAACAATTCTAAAATATTAGACTACATTCTGATTTAATTAGTTAGAAAAGAAAACAAGAAGAGATTATGAAACGTTCACAACTGTTGAGAATTTTCTATGCTTCACGCTATTTAGGTATTACCGGTAATTATACGGCAGGCTAAAATTTGAACATTACGAGCACTTAAAAGTATATATTTATAAGTCATAGTCAGCTTGGATAATCACTAGTCAAAACTCAAAGACTCAAAAGCCAGGAAGTTTCTCTCGACATTTTGTCTAGAATGTCTACTTTTATTCTTTTGAAACACTGTCTAGATGTCTTCATTTCCGATTATTTAGGATGTTTTACGTTTTCCTAACGTGTGTTTTGGTTTTTGTTGTTATCAGAAATTTCAGCAGGCTAAGTTTTAAAATTCGTATTTTAACGTAAAAATAAAAGATTTTTTCGAAAATATGAAAAAGTGGATAGAAGAAATAAATCTTATATATTAAAAGAGAAAAGATAAGTCATGACTTCACTTCATGTGTGATATTTTAAAATGGACTATCTAATAGAATTTTTGACATTACATTATTCAATCATTAATAACATTCATTAGATTCATTAATAACATTTATTGGGCTTACTCATTGAATTTATAGATATTATAATAAAATCTTATATATTCATGTGTGATATTTTAAAATGGACCATCTAATAGAATTTATGACATTACATTATTCAATCATTAATAACATTCATTAGATTCATTAATAACATTTATTGGGCTTACTCATTGGATTTATAAATATTATAATAAAATACATGTTTAAATTAAAGTTATATAATTTAATATTATAATAATATGAGTTAATTATTTATATATTTTGATGTTAATTTTTAAAATTATATAGATTATTTTTAAAAATAACAAAATCATCATTTTCTAACAATAATTAATCTATACTATATAATAATGAATCATCATTTTCGATATACACACCTTATATAATATATATCAATTTAGAAATAAAAAATGTTTATATAAAAATAAATGAAAACAAATATCCACGCGGTTGCGCGGGTTGAGATCTAATATTAAGTTATACAAAGACACATATACAAAGAAAATTGAAAAAATGTCAATCAAGTTGATTTACATAGTAACATATAAAAATCAGCATACTGGATCAAAAAATTTAGATTCAGTTTTGTTAATGAAAATCATTGTTTCTTTATTTTTACTTCAAATACTCCATTGATTAAACATCTTCTTAACTGATTAAACATTTGGTGTGAAAAAAATTATCCCACAAAAAAAACAATAATCTGATACCAAATTACTTATGATTGATCACCATTATCTTTACTTAGCCTCGTTGGTTTGTAAAAAATGGTAAATATAATTCATATATAAATTTAAAACATAACTGAATTAAAGACACGTTTTCTAGAAATCTAAAATTCAATAATAATGATTGATAAAAAGAAAGATATAAAACCAAACTAATCCAATAATACTATATTCATTTAAATATTCAAAAGTCCAACGAGAAAATCATTATTATAAAAATGAATAACATACTAGTATTTATCTGAGCATCATCATCATCATCCTCGTCATCATCGCTCTGTATCATCCACCTTTTAAAACCCCCTCAAAAATCTCTCAACACCTTCTCTCTAAAACAATCAACACTCTAAACAAATTCTCCCTCTCTCTCTGTTTCTGATTCAATATGGGTTTTAGTAAAGAAGAGATTAGCAAAAGCAGAAGGTTTTGGTCTTCTCTATGGAGAGGCATCAAAACTGTATTCGTTTTGTTCACAATGTTCCTCTCTTTCCTCCTCGTCTCTGCTCCGATCTTCCTCGCCCTCGCAGATGCTCTCCTCCCTTCCGCTCTCCTCCACCGCCTCTCCACGCCGGCGAACCTCTCTTCTCATCTCACCAACTACGATTTCCGCCACTCTCTCATCGATATTCCATTAATCTCCATAGTCAGATCCGCCGTTATACTCTGTAAGTACAAAAAAAAATTTAAACTCTGAATCAAAAGTGCTCTGTTTTTGAGTTGCATAGTGCATACTCTGTTTCACACATTGAAAAAGGCTTGCTCTGTTCCTGATCAATAGTAAAGATTCAAACTTTGCAAGAGCCCATGACTCTAAATCAACTGTGCTCTGTTTCTGAATTGCATACTCTGTTTCACACATCGAAAAGGCTTGCTCTGTTCCTGAACAATAGTAAAGATTCAAACTTTGCAAGAGCCCATGACTCTGTATCAACAGTGCTCTGTTTCTGAATTGGATACTCTGTTTCACACATTAAAGAACTCTTGCTCTGTTCCTGAACAATAGCAAAAATTCAAACTTTGCAAAGCTCATGACTCTAATTCAACAGTACTCTGTTTCTGATATGGATACTCTGTTTCTCACATTGAAAATGCTTGCTTTTGTTGACACAGGCGTTTACGGGCTTTGTGATGGACCCAAGTTATCGAGAGGTCCGTATCTGATGATAACAATGATCTGCTCAATTTCATCTCTGATCTACGTTTCGTTAAAAGCTGCGTTCGTATTCGGCGAGCCAGCGAATGTAGACGGCGGTGGTAACTACTTCAGAGCGGCGGAGGTAGCTCTGTTTCTATGCTCGTCCGTTTTAGCCGTTGGTCATATAGTTGTGGCGTATAGAACAAGTTGTAGAGAGAGAAGAAAGCTCCTCGTCTTCAAGATCGACATCGAAGCTGTAAGTCCACTTATTACTCTTCTTCTTTCTCGCTGTTTACATAAATTTTATTAATTATTGATTACACTGAAAGATAGTGTAGGGCCAATGAGACCAAGTTGCATTGTTATTCAAATCTAGTATGAGTTGTTTTTTTTTAGATTTTAACCCTGCCCAAAGATATGAATCCTTGTCAGACTGGGTCAGAAATAGTTTTAGCATGTGGATGTAATAGTCAATGTTTGATTTTTTTAAAACACAAATGACGCATGATTTGAGGATAGAAATCATGATACTTCTTTCCAACTATGTTTGGTAGGGAAAAGACTCCATGTTGTTGTGAGGTTTTGAATTTTAACTTGCATTAAATCACAAACAAAAACAAACAAAATTGAGGTTGAGTTATTAAGACTTTCTTGTTTAATAGTATAGGTTAGAATCTCATGTGGAAACCGTGTACCATGCAATGTAAACCTAATTTTCAAGGTTTTTAATTATTTAACCCGACATAACACGTCATGCCTCACGCATGCTACATGATGTGCTCTCATAGAGCCCAAACCCAATCTCCTTTAGTTTATTACTATTATTATTATGCGATGGAGGCTTTTGATAAAACTTATATGTTTGATTAATCCATTTTTTTTGCAGGTTTCGGCATGTAAAAACGTGTACCCGAGATACCAAAAGATCCTCCAACAAGAGAGACTCATATAGATACGTTTTTCAGGAGACTCAAATACATGTTGCAAATATGTATACACACATGACACGTGGCCAAACGTATGTTAATATATGAAAATACGACGTGTAAATGTAGCTTCTTCTCCTGCCTTTCGGTGTTGACCCATATCAACTCCTTCGCTTTTAAGTTTCAGGTAACTTTACCTAATCTCATCCTCTTTTAAATTTCTTGATTACGTAATATATAGCATATATTCTTTTATTTTGGATAAAAATGATTTCTGTTAGGTTTATTTGTTAGGAACTTAGTATTGGTAGTTGCAGAGCCAAGTTGATGAGAGCCGTTTTGCTGATAATGTTGTTTATTGTCTTTCTTTTTTCTTGCTAACAGAAAGATCCAAAGGGCATAAGATAGTCTGTAAAGGCGGGACGAACAGATAGACCTAGTGAGAACTATACAGGTTTTTATGGTAGACAACTCCGATGAATTGGCAGTTGTTAGCTTTGATATTAGTTAGTGAGATTTGTATATAATATAGTTTTGTAGTAACCTAGAGCTCATCAGTGTGAAAAGATGCCCAAGGCATTTTTAATTTTCTTTTTGTTTTGTATATATTTTATGACATTTTCAAAATATTTTATGAATTTTGGTTTTACTAGTTGTAAGCATCAGACCAGATGTGTAATGAAGGCATCATCAAAACTTCTTATATAATTGTAAAGCAACCGTTTTAAGATCATACACGTACTTTATACCTTAGATATTTTGCATACTAGGTGATTTTCCCGTGCTCATGCACGGGCTTAAATATTTAAGAAATAAATCTATTATATTAGTTGATTGATATTTACTTTAAATTTTATATTAATTTATAGTTTGTATGTATAATTTGTATTATAATATTGTATTATTTTATTTATTATAATTTTATATATATTATATTTAGTCAGTTTTATCATTTGGATATATATATATAAAAAAAAAAATATTGGATTTTTTCTATTTCTATGAATTCAACTATAGTCTTTTTTATTCTAAATATCTTAAATTTTTGATTAATTATTTTATTTACATTTATGTTGGTTGTTATCTACGAAATATAAGTATATCTTAGTAAGATTATGTATGTTAAGATTTTTTGTGCTTAGAACGAAGAAAAACTAAAGTGTATGATTCTAAAATACATAAGTAATAATAAATTTTTGAAAGCTTATGAACACATATCAATATTTACAATAATTAAAATATTTTATAAATTCTAAATAATTTATGCCACAGTTTGATTGGATGATAAACTGAATTTTTTTAAAATAATTTTAAAAATAAGGAGTTCTGATTTGCTTTAAGTATTAGATTATGGTTATATTAAATTCCACAAACATAAAAACAGAAAATTAAACATCAAAAGAGTTATTAAGAAAATAGATAATTTTAACTATTAATTATAATATATCTACCTTGTTAAATTATAGTGTTATGATATATTAAAAGAATTGTAGTTATTTGATCAAAAGATGTTTATTATTAAATTTATTTTTAGTTTTGTTTTTAACATCTATTAAAATATGCAGTAAAAATGTGATTGTTTTTGAGAAATTATATTATATAAGTAAAATATAATTTATATTTTTTTGCTGTAATTTTAAGATATTATAATCAAATAAACATACTAAAAAAATATTTCAATAATACTAATTATAATTTTTTTGCCAAGTAAACATATATCAGTTTATGTTACTTAGTTATTTTATGTAATCATCTAATAAAATAGATAGATATATCAAAAAATAATTAATTTCAAAATATATATTTTATTGATTAAATTATTTTTTTAAAGAAAAAATATTTGTTTTCTAATATCAAGATTATTTGTATGAACTTTTTTTAATGAAAACACATTATATAAAAATATTTTTTCATCTAGGAAGATATAGATATAAAGTATTTTATTACTTAAAAGTATAATTTATGTTATTTAAAAATATATTTAAGTTAAATATTACTATTTTGTAAACTTTCCTTTTTTTTTATGAAGCCATATTATATATATACTTTTTCCGTTTTAAATAGTTTTGTAAATTTTAGAAATATTTCCTTTTTATTTTAATTGTTATTTGGAAGATTTTAAAAAGGAAATAATAATATTTAAATATATTTTTAATTCATTAGGGGTATCATAGTAATCAACCAGCGTGAGAGTTAACGTGAGCGCGACACCTAAGAAAGTGAATTAATAATACTAATTATAATTTTTTTTTGTCAATTAAACGTATATCAGTTTATGTTACTTCATTATTTTATGTAATCATCTAATAAAATAGATTGATATATCAAAAAATAATTAATTTGAAAATATATATTTTATTGTTTAAATTATTGTTTTAAAGAAAAAATTTTTTTTTTCTAATATCAAGATTATTTGTATGAACTTTTTTAATGAAAACACATTATATACAAATATTTTTTTCATCTAGGAAGATATAGATATAAAGTATTTTATTACTTAAAGGTATAATTTATGTTATTTAAAATATATTTAAGTTAAATATTACTATTTTGTAAACTTTCTTTTTTTATGAAACCATATTATATATATACTTATTTTTCGTTTTAAATAGTTTTATAAATTTTATAAATATTTCCTTTTTATTTTAATTGTTATTTGGAAGATTTTAAAAAGGAAATAATAATATTTAAATATATTTTTAATTCATTAGGGGTATCATAGTAATCAACCAGCGTGAGAGTTAACGTGAGTGTGACACCTAAGAAAGTGACTTCTCAAATAATATTATAGAGATACGTGCCAATATTTGCATTATCAAGAACAAGCTTTTCCGGACCTCTGATTTCAAAATTGTGGAAGCTGGATCTGGCGTTGTATGCGGCCCAAGCTGTTAATATTGGCACGGCCACGTATTCATTGTCAAATTGAATCAGGTAATGAGGCTTCATTTTAGATTTGATAACTAACTGGACAGGTTTGGGTCCTCTCCTTGATCTGACTAGAGAGATTGGACCAACGAATTCCAAAGTAAGCATTTATCGTGTGGGTTCTTATGAGGGACCGTCTTTCCACTCGTGACAAGCTCCTGAGCTGGGGACTATCAGCACCTCCTGATTGTATCCTTTGTGGTGGTTCTTCTGAAAATGATAAATATTCATCAACCACATACTGTAAGAAAATATATAATTCACCGTGGAGATTCAGCATTTTAGAAAAGGTGGTAATATGGCTATATGATTAATCTGAAAATACGAATAGTGGCTCATTATTATCAGAGCCGGCATTGGGCAAAGCCGGATGAAACATTAGCCTTGGCCCCCTAAATTTTTTTTGAAAAAATTGCATGTATACCAGCCTCAAAAAAAAAAAATTTTAGGCCTCCAAATCCGTAAAAGAAAATTTTTTAGGTGAAATAGTTCAAAAATCGCCTTAGGTCCCATAATTTTCAGAGCCGGCCCTGATTATTATACTGACTTTTGAAAAGATACAAATCCTCTTTTGTCATATTCTTCAGAAGATAATGATATTTTCTTGGTAATTAAATAATATAAAGGAGGAGAATATTTTTCTTGGTAATACGTCACGAAAACGCAAAGAAGTTTGGTCAAAAGTAAAGAAGAAAAAGAGCCTAGGAATTCGTCTTCATTCTCCCGAAACTACGGTTTAATTTTGCATGATACAAATACTACAGATTCAAATCATCTCATAGTAGCATACATGTACACAACAACGAGATTATTTGTTATTTGTAACTAATAAAATGCAAACCAAAATAGCCTAGTGGAAAAAGTTGGTTTGCGGCAAAATGTTAATCCGTCAATTTAGAATTTAATTTCTACCGAGAACATGATTATATGAAAACATAGCAGGCCACACCAGAAAATCTAAAGACTGGACTAATCATCGATTCTATCTTTAGAGTATCTACAACCCCACTATATAATTTACCGTAAAATAGAATGAGAAATTGAGTGATGAAAAAACAAAAAAAATGTGATTACTCTTATGAGATAGTATTAGTTAAGTTTCAGTCCAAACATTTCTCAAATAAGAAGCCCTTTAAAAAAAAAACGTTTCTCAAAGAAGTTCTTTAATAAAATGTAATTATGATTTCAAGAAAATTCACAAAATAAATAGACAAGGGTATAAATTAAAGTATAAAAATGATAGCATATAAACCAATAAAATAAACGAATAGAAACGAATATAGAAAATGCAGTTGGTGAAGAGTACACGTTGTTCCACTTTTCTGGACTGAAGAAGAGAAGAGAATTAAAAAAGTGAATAATTGAGAGCAGACGTTATACCTTCCCCATCCACATTTCTTGCTACCTACACAACAATTCATCAATTCTGCCAAAAAACGTTTTGAGATTTGTCTAAAGCTTAAAAACTCTTAAAATTTTTTTCTTGCTAAGATCGAAAACTCTGGTCTGCAGATTTTGAGTTTCAAAGATGGGGAGGTTGTTTGTGGTTCATCTTGAAGGGAAGATATATAGCTGCAAATACTGTAAGACTCATCTTGCTTTATATGAAGACATCCTCTCCAAGGTTTTGTCTCTTTTTCACCCCTTGCAATCTCTCTCTGTTTTAGCTTCATCTTATTTCATGTTTTTTTTTTGGGGTTCTTGTGAATATTCTTCTGGATTTTGTGATTTACCTGTTTTTCATTTTTGCTCTGCATGTTTCTTGATTTGTAGAGGATAATCAGTGTCAGATGATTCTGTAGAAGAGAGTGACTGTGTGTTGCTAAGCTTTACTTATGATGCACCTTTAATCTTATTGATGGGAATTGATTATTTTTGAATGACTACATTGTTGAAGTTTTGGTTAAAATCTTGTTATTAATCAGATAATGATTTTCATTGGTTGTTTTTGTTCAAATCATAGTTTTGAACATTGAGTTTCCCTTTAGCTCATCTGAGAGAAGCAATCATCAGAACATTTGTATCTTGAGAATACATTATGCTTCTTGAGTATAACCAAGATCGGTTGAAACTGCTAACTAAGCTTTCACTGCCTCTTCATTTGTTCTTGTCTTGATCTTATGTGTTTGTGTGTGTTTTTCTTGTTCAGTCTTTTCACTGCAAGCATGGGAAGGCTTATCTTTTCAATAAAGTGTAAGTTATATTATTACTAAAGTACCTAAAGATCTCTATATCAACTGATGATGATCCAATACTCCTAAACTTGGATGGTATTTCTGATGATGATCTGGTTTAGTTCCAATGTTACAATTGGAAAGACAGAAGACAGAATGATGATGACAGGAAAACATACAGTGGCTGACATTTTCTGTGTCTCATGTGGATCAATCGTTGGCTGGAGATATGTAAGCAAGAACATGTGACATTTCAAAAAGAAACCTATTTGTGTTTAATTCTCCTGTGTGGTTATAACTCTGTATTGTGTTACCAGGAGACTGCTCATGAGAAGAGTCAGAAGTACAAAGAAGGAAAGTCAGTTCTTGAAAGGTTTAAGATATCGGGTCCTGATGGAAGCAACTACTGGGTGAGTAGCCATGGAAGGCATATAGGTGGAAGTGATGCAGATGATTCTTGAACTCATCTCTCTCTACCCTTCTCATTTGACATCCCCTGTAAATGTAAATTCTTCAACCTCTATTCTCCAACTTGGTCTTATAAGACTAACGAAAACACTTTCTTCTCTTGCTCTCATTATCATCCCAAAAATCATTCAGTAAATAAAGTCTGATTATGTGTAATGGTCATGTTTCATCAAAATCTATGCTTCTTATTAAATAAAATGTCACAATAAATATCTAAGTTTTATCAAAATCTATGCTTCTCATTCACATTGCAATAATAAAATGTCACCAAATTTTGTATTTGTATTTTAATAAACCAACAAGATAGGGGTAAAGTGGTTTTGGATGGATGGTAAAACTCACATCGCCTTGGAAATAACTGAAACGCTAATACACACACTAATGCTCTCACGAAGAAAGCTTGAAATGTTGTTTATGCATGAATGAATATTTCTCTTTCATAATTGTAAAACTAAAAAAAAGAAGTGATAATCCCTCTTTTAAGCCCTTTCCCTTGAAAAACATAGTATAATATCATGTATAAATTTGTAAGAAAGATATACCATGCAATGAGCTTTTTATTTGAAACTTAACGTCAAGAGAACTGTATGGAGTGTCTTCCACGATTGGAATCAAACACGTGCAGCCATTTCATCTCAAATCTAAATTAAAGAAAATGAAAAACAAAAACTGATTCGGTTAAATGAAAACGTCTAAAACAGTTTATTATATCATCGATCAACATAATAATTAGGGTAAGAAAAGTCAGACCACCAAATCAGATAGACATAACTTCTTTTTAATTTCTCCTATATCAGTCAACGCAAAGACCTTAATGTCAAATTCTCAATATTCAGTGTATTTTTCATTGCATTGATCAAATGTCAACAAGTCAAAGTTGTTCAACAGAACAGCCAATGGGCCGTAAAATGTCAGATCCTCAAATTTGGAGGCCTAGTAAAGGTGATGGAGTCTGTTACCTTCATATTGAGAAAAATATGGTTTTGGTCAACAAAACCTTTAACAAATAATGGTGGCTTATTAGTGCTTACTGACCAAACCCACAAGTCAATAGATCAGTCTTTCTCAGTGATGGTAGGCTTGTTTCTTCATCTTTTTCTGCTAACTACTCCACTTTTCTCCTAAATGTAGTTAGCTCAGACAACATATTGAGATTAATCAAAGAATAAACTAAACCAATGGAGTCAGACAAATTGACAATTTGCCTCCTTATATCCATCCTCTTCACACATACACACACATGACTTATTTCATTCCTTAAAACAAAGTAACATTTTGAGACTTTCAAGAAAATGAGGAGCTTTTTCATCTTACTTTGCTTCTTCTTATTCTTCTTCTTTAGTGGAGAATTCGCAGCTGCAAGAAAGTTCTGGAGCAGATTAGAGATGGCTGAGATGAATGGCTACGGGGAACACAAACTCTCCTCTGTGGTCATCACCGGTTCTCTTCTTTGCAACACCCCTGTTTCAGGTATTCTCTATATATTTCTATGCGTATTTATGTTTTTGTGTTTGTACATAATAATCTAACCGTTGACATCATCTTACAGGTGCCACTGTTGCCATCAAGTGTCACACTGGTTTCAAAAAGAGATCAAACTTGATAAAAGCTGTTACTGATGACTTTGGAGAATTTGTTATCCATCTTCCTTCTCATCTTCACGCAATTCCAAACTTAGAAAAATCCTGTTTCATCAAACCAATACATGTGCCTAAACACTATCATAGATGCTACAAGACATTTTCCAAATCCAATCTACACAAAGGCATCAAACTTGTCTCGTCCAGAAATGGTTTCCGTGTCTACACCTCAGGAACGATCATGTTACATGGATACAGTTCAAGATCATCCCAAGCTCGTAAAGCCGTCATGTAAAAAATCAAATAACTTGTGAAACAAGCATGTGTTACATTTTCATTGTCCTCACTTGTTTAGCTGGCGCTTAAGTCACAAAACTAAGTTTGAGCCTCTCTACAGTCTATATTGTTAATCATATTCACACAAACACGTTATTCCATACTTTTTTTTTTTTGAGAAAGGGCTTACGATATTCCGTAATTTTTCATACGAATTAAAGAGACACAACTTGCCGTTACAGCGAAGTTAATATGTAGTTTTACTAGTCAAATCCAAGGTCGACGTGATGTACACGAAGTGCGCATGATTTTCGTTTATTGATGAATCTTAAATACAATGTTCGAATGATCGAACATAAATAAAAGTTTTCTATGAAAACTGATTTGTTATTGTATCACAAATTATGCAAACATTACATAAATGAATTTTGAAACGATAATTCTAACTGTTTAGAAAAGTCACATGTTACGATTTGTATCTTTTTAAAAAATCAAGCTTAACGGTTTTATTTAGACTCATGTTTTTTACAATAATCTACATAACAATTATTAAATCGAATTTTTTAGAATTTGAAATCGAAAATATTGGTGTAGAATATTAATGAAGTATAAGTTAAAAACACTGAACTAATAACTAATTCATAGAAGATTACGAATCTATTTGTATCATGGAAGCAACACTTTTGGATATATATGCAACATAATATAAAAAAATATACAAACGATCCTGCATCAATGCCTCCTCTTTCATAGGGACTCTCCTTCTCATCTTCAATATCTGAAGTTCTGAGCCACCAAATCTCAGTTCTCTGATTCACTATAAACCCTAATAATAATATTCGAAAACTAAAACGTTTTTTTTTTGCATACTGAACAATGGGGAAGGAGAAGAAAACAGAGTCGCATGACAATGGCAGTTACAACTACAAGATGTTCAAATGCTTCAACCGTAAGTTCAAGATCAACGAAGTCCAACCCACCAACGACGTCCGTGACGCTTTCTGCAAATTCTCCGTCGGCGCCGGTGACGGATCCTCCGGCGTTATGGGGGCAGAGCAGCTCTGTTCTTTCCTCGACGACCATCAAGTCCATTCAGTAACCACCGTCGCCGAGGCTCAACGGTTAATCGACGAGGTCATAAGACGTAGACACCACGTAACGCGTTTCACACGTCATGGTCTTGACCTAGACGATTTCTTCAACTTCCTCTTTTACGACGATCTCAATCCTCCCATCACTCCTCATGTAAAATTTTTTAAACCCTAATCTTCTTTTCAAGATTTGAAACTTTGTTCTTACAATGGATGTGAAATGTTGTGTCTGAAAACAGGTGCATCAAGACATGACAGCTCCGTTGTCTCATTACTTTATATACACGGGACATAACTCGTATCTTACAGGGAATCAGCTAAGTAGTGATTGTAGTGAAGTCCCTGTGATCAAAGCTTTGCAAAGAGGTGTTCGAGTTATTGAGCTTGATCTTTGGCCTAACTCTACTGGAACTGATATCAATGTTCTTCATGGACGGTAATTAATATATAAAAGTGTTAGAATCAATCCATTTATAACCAATTGTTGAAAGTACATGATAAAATTTGACATTTTTCTCTTTTAACCAATATTATTTGGTCTACTTGTTTTCTTCAGAACACTCACAACACCAGTACCACTGATCAAATGCTTGAAATCGATAAGAGATTACGCATTTTCTAGTTCACCTTATCCAGTTATCATCACTTTAGAGGATCATCTTACATCTGATCTTCAAGCCAAAGTGGCTGAGGTAACATAATACTATTTATCTTGTGAATTAATCAATTTTTTTTGGGATATTTTGTGAACTTTTTTTTGGTTCTTTCTTTGTTTAGATGGCTACAAAGATATTTGGAGAAATGTTGTATTACCCTGAATCAGATAACTTAGAAGAGTTTCCTTCTCCTGCTTCACTGCTTCATCGAATAATCATCTCAACTAAACCGCCAAAAGAGTATCTCGAATCAAGGAACCCGTTAGTTAAACAGAAGAATAATAGTATTGTATCTCCATCTTCAGAGGAGGAAACACCAGCTGGAACAGAGGAGATTCAGACACTAGAAAGTATGTTGTCTTACCAAGATTATGAAACCAAGGTAAGAAAAAAAGGATCTTGTATCAGGAAACATAATGGTCTTACATTGTCTGTTGTTTTGTGATTTGGTTTATATATTGAATTAGAGTGATAGTGATCAAGAGAAGGAAGAAGGGAGTGAAGAACAGAAACCAGTATACAAAAGATTGATCACTATCCATGCTGGGAAACCAAAGGGATCAGTAAAAGAAGAGATGAAAGTTGCGGTTGATAAAGTGAGACGTTTGAGTTTAAGCGAGCAAGAACTTGACAGGACATGTTCATCCAATAGTCAAGATGTTGTAAGGTTTACACAGAGGAATTTGCTTAGGATATACCCGAAAGGAACACGAATTAACTCATCAAACTACAAACCGCTTATTGGTTGGACTCATGGAGCACAAATGATTGCATTCAATATGCAGGTAACAAACTAAAGGGCTAATGATACCTTGGATCTTACGCTACCCTTTTGGACCCTATATGTATATAACAAATTATTTGTCATTTATAGGGATATGGGAAATCTCTGTGGATGATGCACGGTATGTTTAGAGCTAATGGAGGCTGTGGATATGTGAAGAAACCTAACTTCTTGATGAAGAAAGGGTTTCATGAGGAAGTCTTTGACCCTAGGAAGAGACTTCCTGTGAAAGAAACGTTAAAGGCAAGCCAACAACAATCTACATACTTTAGAGGATGTTCCAAACATTTAACTGTCATCATTTTGATGTGGTTTCTCAATAGGTGAAAGTGTATATGGGAGATGGATGGCGTCTAGACTTCAGTCACACTCATTTCGACGCATATTCTCCTCCTGATTTCTACACTAAGGTAATAATATTACTTTCACCAAATAGGGGCTTTTTAAAAAAAAAATTAAAAATGTTACAAGATTGTGAATATGTGAGCTTTTGTAGATGTACATAGTGGGTGTACCAGCAGATAATGCAAAGAAGAAGACAAAAATAATTGAAGACAATTGGTATCCAATATGGGATGAGGAGTTTAGTTTCCCATTAACAGTTCCAGAGCTTGCTTTGCTTAGGATCGAAGTCAGAGAGTATGATATGTCTGAGAAGGATGATTTTGGAGGACAAACATGCTTGCCTGTTTCAGAGTTAAGACCGGGGATTAGGTCTGTTCCTTTGTATGATAAAAAGGGCGAGAAAATGAAGTCAGTACGGCTTCTTATGCGTTTCACCTTTGAATGATTTGGTTTAATAGGAGTGGATGTGTTTGAGAGAGAGTTTGGACCATTTTGAGAAAACCTTTTGAGGTATTGTATAATGTAAAGCTTGAAGATCGATCTAGTGGATCTTTATCATGAATCATGGACAATACACAATCACTTGGATCAGAATCAATTCGAGACAGAAGCTAAGGACATGTTACACTTGGCTCTGATTCAGTTTTTTAGGGTTCCTTTAGACATTAGGCTATAGCTATGCGTTTCAATTATGTGGACTGTTGAAAAGGCCATTGATTTTCACATAATTATTAGGGTTTAGAAGGAAGCGTGTCTTGTTTATTATCATAGTCTCGTGTAGCTTGGGTTGTACGTTACGAGTACATTCATAGTGGCAAAAATAACCAGTTGGCTTTTGGCTCATGAGGTCTTAAGTTAGTGACGATGGCTCTTTCGAGGCGCATCATCTTGTGATGGTGTGAATTATTATCATATATTATATTCCCAGACGTCAGATTGGTGATACATTCATAGTGGCAAAAATAACCAGTTGGCTTTTGGCTCATGAGGTCTTAAGTTAGTGACGATGGCTCTTTCGAGGCGCATCATCTTGTGATGGTGTGAATTATTATCATATATTATATTCCCAGACGTCAGATTGGTGAGCGAACCCATTAGGGTTAAGGGTTATATATGATATCACAATATGGCTCATGAGCTTTTTCACCTCAAAGCCAACTGGTTACTAACGTAATAATTTGTTCGCTCTTATATACCACTCTAGTTCGTTTAAATTCTCCGATGTGGGATTCATTAATTTTTACTATCTAGATTATTTAGCTCATGTATTTATTAAGCGGTTAAAAAATAAATAGAAAAGGTAACTTTTGAAAAAAATCAGTTTAATTTGTGGTAGTTAAATTAAATACCTTTTCGTTTTGGAATATGCAAGTTTCTTGTAGTTCAAAACACATCACTTCGAGAAAGTTTCATAGAGTTAGATAAACGGTATGAATATATTTCAGATGCTAATGTGGCAGCAGAGGAAGTAGTTGGTTCGTTATCTCAATAGAATTAATCGAGGAAGGTGAGGCTGTGTTTGGTTATAAATGCTGAAGTAAACATTGATTCTCGTTCGCATGACAAGTTCATGCCAATGAAGCAAAGTACTTCAACCGTGTTCACGAGTGAAATAAGTATATAACTAAACGCACTATGATCACAATAACCCGCCTCCAAAAGTAAGCTCAAGGGTAGAAGTTTAACATAGTCTACCAAAAGAGTCAAAACAGAAATTCCATAGAACTATATATGATTCAAGCCAAGATTTAACTTAAGTTACAAACTCTTGCATGTGAAACTGAAACTGAAACTGAAAGAAAACATAAAATAAATCGACCAGTCAAATTTTTAGAACCTTTCATGATCCATATGCACACAACACACAGTCCAACTGTATTCATTATAACTCCTATAAGAAACAAAAAGATAATGATAAAAATATACATATTATTGTGAGATTGCAACACATTTTTCACATTACAGAACCAGAAACAGTCAACAGAAACTATACCTTTATTAAAGCTTCCTTTGGAGTTTTTTTTCCCCATCCTATGCTATTATTATTCAAGCCAAGATTTAATACAAAACAAACCATCTTTGTCATTAACATATAAAAATATTACAGCTTCTGAGGAGTTAACAAAATGGATTTTAGATACTTACATATTCTCTTCAATTGAATACCGCCAGTTTTTTGGAGAACAGTTTTGAAACACACAAAGTCGTCCACAATTGTGAATAAGATCCGCAAATATTTGAATCCATAGCCAAGTTTGATAATCGTTGCTGTAAAAATTGAGATACATTGTAAAATAAAAATTGAGATTAAAAGTTGTTGACGATGTAAGAGATCCATCAACTTACATTCTGACCAGACCACTCCTTCTGTCTGAACAGATCTTACAGATTTTTCTAACTTCTCTATGTCAGGCTTGTCACCGAACAGCTGTCTAAGTACTAAACCTGACTGGCAAGCTGGCCAAGCAGCTTATCCGATAAAACAAATACCATTTAAAGAGAAATGTAGATAAAGTGATACAAACCAAAACTTACATTCTTTTTTATTTGAGAATACTCTCGAAGGACCTGCTATCTCTTTCCCAAAAAGGTCAACATCCTCCTAGATATGATTGAAGCAATAACATATAAAATTTTACAATCTATATTAGATATGATGCGTAGAATATATAGACCCTTATGATCAAAATATGATCTCTGAAAACCGTAAAACAAACAATTGAAAGTACCTTGAAATCAGATTCCTCATCTGTGATTCCATTACCGTCAATTGTTTGTTTAAGGGTACACACAGCATATCTTTAGCATTAGTTTACATAAAAAAAGTTTAACCTTCAAGGAGTTTAAGAATGGATTTTGGATACTTACATATTCTGTTTAACCTGAGAATTTGACAGCTCTTGACATACCGATTTTCAGTTATTTGCTCTTTGACAATGGTGCTGAACTTGATGCGTCCAAGATCCGCAAATTGTCCAAGGGTGGTGTACTCAATCCCCAACAATTTGATTCCACAACCAACGGGGACAAGCTTTGCTGTATAAAAAAATAAGAGATTTTCAGAATATTACAAGAACAGCCGCCAGATATTTAGAAATATAACCAACTTACATGCTCCCCAAAACAATCCCGCCACCTGAATAGATCTTACAGCCTCCTCTACCTTCTTCATATCGGCATTGTCTTCATTCGGTTGAATAAGAATTAGAGCTGATGATTTGCCATTAAATAAATAAGAATGAGAATGATCCAACGCATCTTCATCTTGACATTTTAGTCTAGGAGTGTGTAACACAAACTCACATTCGCATAAGCTTCTAGTCGCAACATGCCCAAAAGGCAATATATGTGTATCGATAAGGATGTCAAAAACATCTTCAATTTCCTCATTAAAGGGCATTGTGGCTATGATCCGCAACAACTTGACTCCATGACCAACTGAAACAACTTTTGCTAAGAGATTACATAATACAGTTAGTATATACCTTTTCAATATTCTAGAAAAAAAATAATGAATGTATTAGCCATGCACCAAGTCTTACATGCTCCCCAAACCAGACCTTCCATTTGAATAGATCTTAAATGTTCCTCTAGCTTATACATGTCGGTCTCATCATCCTTCGGCATGACAACTATTGCAATTGATTCCCAAGCTATCCAAAGAAACAAACCCATGTATGTAGTGAGTATATATAAACGAAGAGTCTTCAAACCGAAACTTACATATTTTCTTTTAGTGGAGGCTATCAAAGAACTTGGTCTCTCTTCAGCCTCTTTCTCGATAAGATCAACATCTTGAACATTATCATTGTCATCAATAACCACCACACCGTCCTTATCATATGATGGAAACAATTACATATATAAAACATGGATCTTAATTATTTGTGTATAATCTTATATTATAACTAGAGCCCTTATGGAAAAACAAGCATTAAAAATAGAGTACCTTAGTATCATCAGTATTACCATTACCCACTTCCCTGTTAAAGACCAATCCATCAATAGTTACACCACTCCCTTCAGAAGAGATACCTCTGCGAAGAGAGACACTGAGTTAGACAATATCCAAACAACTAAAAAGTTGTAAAAATCCATGCAAAGCAAATGAAGGAACTTACGAGATACTCAAGAGGGTTTCAATGTGGTTGTACCAACGTGATGCATTCACATACTTTGAAGGTGGAGGTTTTGAAAGAGCCACATAGACTGTGATATCATCTTTGGAAGCCTTGTGACTGATTGTTATAAAAAGTAAAAGGGTACAATTAAATCTATTAGAGTTGTGCTCTATTTCATTAAAAAAAAAACTAGAGAAGCAATATTGGGAGAGTTGATTACAAGAAGAGATTTTCTAACATCTTTGGTGTTTTGTAGAATACATACAACAAAAAAGTTTAACCTTGTAATGTAATAACGAGTGAGAAGATGCTCGTCTAGCTTTTTCAGTCCAGCATTAGAGTTGAGATTAGGGAAAGCAGCAGCCATTTCTTCTAAGGCTCTTACCTTTTTGACTGAAAATGTTACAAGTACATTGTACATATATTAAGACGAAGAAGGTTCTCCCTTAGCAGTAGTTTCTTTTTTCTTGGACAAACTAAGTTCCCAGTATATTCATTCAAAGATTTTATAAGAATTTTCTTATATGAAAATAAATTCTAATAAACTAGTGTTTTTCCTAAATTGAGATTAATTATTACAAGCAAAAGTTTCTAAGAGACATGAAAAACTGGTCAAATTCTAATCATTTTCAGACAAGCAAAGCAGTTTAATAAAAGAACTAAAAAATATTAACATTGAGGAAGATGGAAGGAGCTCGCGGGGGTGAACGAGGAAGAACGTCGTTGCTGCTTTCTCTTTTTTCTTTTCATGTTGTGTGTTTATCTCTCTGTTCGATAAAGATTAGATTAAACTGAATAATCAAAAGTCGAATAATAGTGACTTTGCTATAGTTCCCGAAAATATATGAAATCAGCAACAAGATACACGTTTATCGTCTTCTATTTTGACTTTGTTATTTAACACGTTTAACCTGTGCTTTATTGGATTATTGCCGAAAACAAGCCCACCTGAGTAAAAGGATCACGCAGACGCAGGCTTGTTTTTTTTTCTTTTTCGAATTCTTGTTTTAGTTTTCTCATTAAAAAAGGTTAAAAAGTGTGTTAATAAAGGGAATTTCCAAGGTTTTTTTGAAGAAAGAAAAACTGCAAAAGAGTTTTTTTTCTCCAGCTAAAAGAGTTGTACTAATATTTATCTAAAGAATAAAATCTAAATTTTGCCAACTGTTTCAAGTTTTTTTGCACTTATCTAATACTTTCTTAATTCTTTCTTTTCTTTTGGGTACTTATCTAATATAGCTTTTCTTAATTTATGTTAAATTTAAACTAATATCTATATATCTAGTTGAAAGATAATTAAATAAAAAGGAACAACTTCATGCATAAATAGGAATTTCTTAACGAGTTATAAAAGGAACAATTATGATTTTACTTTTTTTTTGTTCGGAAAAGATGTTTATGTAAAACATTAACACAATAGGCATAAAGAAAGAAGGAAAAAAAAAAAGCAAAGTAGACTTGTTTCTTACCATGGCGAATTCACCAGAGGAAACCACAAGTGTTACACGAGAAGACAGCGAAGCAGCGGAAACATTAATACAACTAAGCCAAGATACTCGATATCAGCCAATAGAAGAAGAAGATGCAGCTCCATCGTCGACTCAATTATTACCACAAGTAGGTAAAACTCCTCAAAACCCGTGTTCGTGTAAGAAGTTTAAAGCTGAAGAGAAACAGCATTCGAAGAAGGATAATAAAAAATCTAAGAGTACAAAAGGGAAGAGAGTAAAGTTGGAGGTAGACGATACCAACGAAACCCTAATGATTCTTCAGGAATGGAACCGAACTAAACCCGACCCGATGAAGACAATATTCACGGATGGTGTTAACGTGGCAAAGCTATTCAGCAAACCGATAAAGAAGCAGCTGACGATGAGCGACATAGAGATTGGTCAAGGCAGGCTCATGTTAGGGAAGCAGCAAGTGCAGAAGAAGTTGCTTCCTCTTTTAGAAGCTTCTGAGATTTCGCAAGGGAGAGAGGGGCTTGATGTTTCGGTGTACGGACCAAACGGGGCGGTTCAAACGATGAAGTACAAGATGTGGGGAAAGGACACGCCTGTGTTGACTACGGGGTGGAACGATTTCGTGGAAAAATATAAACTCGCGAAGTTTTGTGATTTTCTCACTATTTGGATGTTTAGGCATAATGTCAGTGGTAAGATTTGCTTCGCCATTGACAAGAATAGGTTTGATACTATAACAGGACCGCTGAGTTTGAGGATCTCGAATTCTGTCATCGAGAATCCAAATTAATTAGGTTTTTTTTTTTTTTTTTTGACATCATTAATTAGGGTTTTCATTAGTGGGTTTTGTGTTTTTAATTATTTTGTCTTTTTTTTTTGTTTTTTGGATAATGGAAAGAAAGGCACAAAAGGTTTTAAGGGTTATCAATTTAGAATTAGGGTCCTTTACTAGGGTTTGATTGAGGCTGCCATCAACGATTCTATTTATGTACTTTTTTTTTTGTGTACGTTAATTTTGATTTTTTTGTTTGTTCATGAAAAGAAAAAAAAAATATTCTGGAAGTCTCATTAGTCTAATAATGTTTTTATTAATATCTTTGCACCACGAAGTGGGAATCCCAAACAAGTATGATTTATCATCGCAAATTATTGGCTAATATATTATAAACTGTCAGATTTGGTTCTGTCAGGCTTGGATCTTTTATAATGCCGTTAATCAGTATGATGTAAATATAATCACTCTGGTGTAAGTGAACCATCAATCGAAAATCCTCATAAAACATGTATGTGTGTTATTGGTTGTGGAACATAACAGTAACAAAAAAAAGTTATTTGTTGTGGAGTGTCTTGTAATAAATCTAATACTGTACTTTGTAATAGATATAGTGCTAAAAGATTACAAATGGTGTTAAATATGGGAGTTCTAGATTCTATATTGATCTGGCCATGTGGTCATGCAGAGACCATAATTTAAAGCATATAATATCTCAAATTCGATGTCTCAATATATCCTTTTAATATTTTTGGCTAATAATGCATCCAGTAAACAAATTTTTATAGATTCCTTTCTGATCTAGACCATTAGAACGGATTGGATATATTTTTTTCATTCAAAAACATAACAACACAGTCATGTCCATATACACAGCTAAAATTTTTAGTGGTTTATCAACACACTTTCCATTGGCGTGATCTATTAGAGATTCGAGCTATCTGGATTCAGGGACTTGCGATGATGTCCAGCACGACCTTGGTATGCCCTGCTTTTCAAACCATTCAGGCATGTGAAATCTATCGTAAAGAGCTCCTCGTACATCTTCTTCTTCTGAAAGTTGCTTAAGAAGCGGAAGAATAATGTCCAATAGCTTCAACATGTAGTGCGTTCTCATTAGAAAATGGGATGATAAAATGTACTCAAAATTATTAGGATTAGACTTAAAAAATACCTGAGTATCATGTGGCTGGTCAGCGGAAAACGGAACACATGGAATCCCGTTTAGAGGTTGTAATAGAAAACTGTAGGGATTGTTGTCAACTATAACTGTCCTACACATATTCTTTGATGTGCATAACAGATCCTTCACGTGATCTCGATATTGCCTATTATTTGAAATACAAAAGCATAAAAATATATAAATGACCATATATTATCTACCAAACGAAAGCTATTCTGATGATCAACTTACGTGCTGACAGTACAAGAGCGATACAGCCTGTCGTTCAAGACATTCTTGGTATCTATTTTGTCCACTAGCGGCCTTGCATAATCTGCATATGTGACGAATATATTATAAGCACTGAGCGAGAGCAGAGAGTGATGAATAAATGAAAAAAAGAAGAGTAGAAACTCAAGGGACCTTCAAGACCAGCAGTAAAAATAACAAGATGTGCAAATTGGCTGAGTTTCTCTAAGAATTCGTGTAACCCTGGACGCTCAAACACCGTAACATAATTGATTTTAGGCACCCCGTTGCATTCCTGTCATGCCAGAGAAGTGAGATTATTTGCACATGCACAAATATTAATTTTATTGACTTAAAAGTACTAAGAAGCATTTGTTATATTATGTGGTGAAAACCTTGGTTGATGATATGCATTCCAGCTCAAACCACTTCAATCCAGCTTCAATAGCTTGTGTACGTAAATTATCAGGTAGACTAGACGTCTCATACGCACTAACCAATGTCTCATCCAAGTCCAGAACTACCTGTATATCCATGTTCTTATCTCAGACTACATAAACACACCATCTTAATTGAGTTTCCTCATTGTTTTTAATCGAAATACAGTATAGTCTACTAGGCTATAGTCTACGAGGCTGGTCCTGAGATTTATGGAGATTAAAGAATTATAGTTTAATAGTCTTTTAAAAAAAAAATACCATATAGACTAATAGTCATATATATTTTTTTGATCAGTTTGGGGTTTAAACCATTTATACTATTTAATAACCATTACAATGGGCATGGGAAAATGTGGATAACTGGCCCTATCTTAGTCTAACATATAATATTGACAGCACCAAGAAATGTCAATAATGCATCAAAGGAAGAACTTAAAAGCTTCTTCCCTCTGTTACAGTATTACTTATAAACCAACTAGATGTTCTACAAGATTGATGTTGCTTAAACTCATATTAGAGAATTAATATAGAGTACAGAACATGTCATTGAAGAAAGCTCAAAACAGAGATCATACCGTGAGTCTATGGATGTTACTGACTTCTCCTTCGGTAGATGTTCTCCCGGAGGAGATCTCTATGGTGGTGACGGGTGATTCCGCCGCCATATCCGATAACTCGATGACTGGCAAGGGTTTAAACCCATCGGGTAAAGGGTGGTGAGAGAAAGGACGGAGGATCTTAAGAAAGAACTGGTAGAAAAAATCTAGCCAGTTGACAAAAACATTCCACAGTTGAAGCGACGACCGTGGCGAGTAAACAAGATCGGTTTGACTTAGTTCTTCCATGACGCGGACCGGTTTTGATCCAGAGGAAGAAGGATGAAGAGACTAACAAAGCCTTTGGTGAAACCTGAAGAAGAAGAAGAATGAGACAATCAAAGTTTGGGCTCTCACTTTGGGTTTTCTTCTCTTTTTCAGCGAAACGTCTTTGCTTTTTATTTTATTTTTTTATTTGCTTTGATTACTGTGATTCACGCGTAATTGTTGGCGATTGATGATCACGGCGAATGTAATATGATGAACGAATGGAAGTAATAGACACGCGTGGAGAAATGAGAGTTGGAGAGATTCGAAAGAAGAGACAGATTTAAAAGAGAAGAAAGCGCTGAGCTCAATTCCTTTGGAACTTTCCTTTTGTGGGCCCCTCCTTATTTAGAGCTAAACCGGATTTATTTCAATTTGGTTTGGTTTGGTTTGCTTTGACTTAGAGTCAGGTTTTCGGCTTGACTACCTTTGACATTTTGCAATGTAGCTTTTTTCTTATCAAAATTTTTGCAATGACTATCCAAATGATATATATATATATATATATATATATATATATATATATGTGTGTGTGTGTATATATACACTAGTGATTATTGCGTTGTTTGTTATTTGATTAGTATATATTTCTTATGATATGTATGTTGTCCAAAAAAAATGTATTAAAGTATTTGGTATCCATACGCTAGATAGGAAGATTGATCCAACTACTACAATCCATTATTGGTATTTGGTACAGAGTGTAGACATCAGAATCAATGTATCATATTTGGTCATCATAAATGAACATTATGGTCGGTTGGTCCAAAATTTCGTTCTAAGTTTCGATCATTTATTTTAGAGTTTTTTGTTGCTTAAAATTGGATTTATTTTAGAGTTTCATTGAACAAATGATAATCAACAAAAAATACATGAAAAATTAAAATAAGAGATTTCATATATTAGCCTATAAAACTTTGTAAATGGTAGTTTATGCATCTTTCAACCTTTTATCGAAATTATTTCAGTTTTTATTTGTATTTAAAGGTTGTGTTGAAAGTGTTATACATTGTATTTTCTAAAAAATGATTTGATACTATTAACAAAATTATTTTATTGACAAAAAAATATTGTATTTACAATGTGAAATTAATGTAAACAGTTCTTTACACATACATCTTACATTTACTGGATTTAAGAGACAAAAAGACACAATCAAGATCCCCAGAGGAAAAAGAAACAGAACATAAACAAAGAATCATTAAAAAAAAAAAACAGGCAAACACAAGAAGCCAAACAAAACAAAAAACTCAAAATCAATTGTAAGAACAAGATGAAGAGAGCCAAGGATGGTCAAGTGCCTCCAGAGCTGTTGGACGTCTCAATGGATTGATTTCAAGTAGACTTCTTACAAAATCTAAAAATAATTCATCATTAACGTGTAACTGATCTTCCAAGCAAGATTCTTCTGTGATTATGTATTCAATCTCATTGCTCTCCTACAACACAAAAACAGAAAACAATAATATATGAGATTCAAGCAACAATTATTAACTTCTTTCGGTTAAAACAAGATAAATCTACCTCGTTTAAGTGGTAGAGATCAAACTCTTTGGTGAAGTACTTATGAGTCTCTTGACCTTTCTCTAGCATATCCACTTCTATAGGGCCTAATACCGCAATAATCCGAGCCAATATCATCGCTACTGCTTCGTTTGGAAACAAAACCTGATAAACACATAAACATAAACTTATACAATGATAAATTCTTGTCACTAGTTTATAACATTAATAGTTAAGGTTTAAAGGAGACAATACCTCACCAGAGTAGAGTTCTACTAAAATACAACCAAGAGACCACAAATCAATCTTTTCATCATATGGAAGTCCAAGAATCACTTCAGGAGCTCTATAGGAACGTGATTGTACATACAAGCACAAGTTGTCAGAGCGGAAACAACTGCTTCCAAGATCAATGATTTTTACCGCGCATTTTTTGTAACTCTTTATTGGTATATTCTCTGGTTTAAGATCACAATGTATGATTCCTAGTCCGTGAAGGAACACAAGAGCATCCAAACACTGTCTCATTATAACCTGATGAAAAAAAAAACAATAATAAAGATCATGAATAAAATATAGTTTTTAAACATTAATAATGAACCTGAAGTCTGCTTAAGTTAAAGTATGGTTCTCCTCCGGATTCTTGGTTGAATTTTTGGAATTCATATAAGTTTGCACGTAGAAGTTCACACACAATGAAAAGATGTTCCTGTTACATACTCTCAAGGTTAGAGACTTCTTGAGCAAGAGAAAAAAAATGATAGTTATGTCTTGCTAAATCTCTTACTTGGTGGTAGAAGTAATCGTAGAGACGCAAGATGTGATGTTCATCAGCAGGATCATGCTTATTAACATGTTTAAGTAGTTTAATCTCATCTAAACTCTGATCAAAGAAATCTTTATCGTTCTTGATAATCTTGAGGCAAACATCTACCCCATTGTGTAGATCTTGAGCCTGAACCACCTTGCTAAATGCAGCTGAACCAATGTATTCTGTAATGTAGTATCTTCCTCCAATCACTGAGTTCAGCACAATTGGTAGATCCTTATTCGCTTCGAACCCCGTCCTGTAATAAAACAAAAAAACGTTACAACACATTTCATTATATGTCATCCCTTCAAAATATTATCATACCTATTTTTCCAGTGAATGATTCTAAGATCAAATACTTCATACTCATCTTCTTTAAGGTCATGAACAAAATCAACCTCTTCATCTGTTACATTCACCTTATCACTGGTCTTTGAATCATCATTGTCCTTTGCATCATCTTCTTCACAACTAAACCCAAACAACTCCCCATCAAAAAATTCACTTTCAACACCAATGTAGTCTTTAGAGTGATCCTCAACATTGTTAGGCTTATCTAAGTAATCAAGACTTGCTTCGGTTTTAGACCCTTCTGATGATTTATCGTAGACACCAACATTATTATTCTCGAGTTGGTTATCTGTGATGAACTTATCTTGTGTAGTAGGTGCGGGGAATATGAAGAAATCAGATTCTGTAAATGCAGGAGACATGAACTCATCATCTTCTGTCTCTTCTTTGTTGTTGATCTGTAAGTAAAACTCACTCCACTCGTGATATGTACGCGCCGTACCAAACTGAGATATGGATTCAGATGATGATGATGATGATCCATCTCCATACGGATTCATAAACTCTGTACTTATGCAATAAAACCATATCAATAATCAAGAAGCAAGAATCAAGAAATCAAGATTTAGCCAAATTCAATTTAAATGTTACCGGAAGTGAAAGAGTCCAAGCTGACAAACTCGTCATCTGAAGAAGACTTTGACCCTTTCTCTCCGGAGGAATCAGGAGGAGTAGGAAGAGGACTCGCCGTGATTCTGATCGGCGGAGGAATAGGAAACAGAAACTTCTCGAAGTCAAAAGAAATGAGTTGGTTTTGCTCGTTGATATCGTCTCTCAGAGCAGACTCAGCCTCGGTTAAGCCGTTGCGTCGGAGAAACTTAAGCACGGATTCAACATCCATCTCCATGGACCACAGAGAAGAGAAGAGAAAGTTTCAAGATCACGTGCTTGAGAACAGAGTTAAACGCATTGTTCTTGATAAGCTTTCAAGACTCTCTCCCATGATCCCTGATGATTAATGTAAAGTTAAGTATAAATCTCTGATCATCTTCTTCTTCTTCTCTCTGGTTGGCTCGGTAGGACCAAAGCTAACAATAACGGACATGGTGTGATGTCTTTTCTTACCGGTTTTTCTTTTCGAGAGAAAAGGTTTCTTCAGGGTACGGTATTGTTTTTCTTTCAACGTCGAGGTTTCTTTTTAATATTTAAAGACACGTGTACCAATAGTTATCCACCACGTGTAATGATGTCACTGTGTTTTGGACTTTATTTTATAAATGTCTGAACCGACGGAGTTATAACATTTATTTTTTTGTCTTGTAACGGGACAAATCGAATTTAAAAGTTTAATAAAATAATGAGAAAGGAAGAATCTTTCAGATGATTGTTATTATTTTACTTGATAAATCTAAGTTCCACTAAGCTTTCATTTATTTAAATTGAAATCTATCAATCGTACACCATCATCACGTTTCCTAATCTCATTTCTCTCTTTTTTTTTGTCAACTAATCCCATTTCTCTTAATTAGACTTTTCAATGTTAAGTATATAATTAGAATTTTATAATAATGTTACACGGAGATAAGTTTTTTTGGGTGTAAGACACGGAGATAAGTTCTTGTTAAGATATCGTCAATAATGGAGATGGAATCCTTTCGAATAACTTTGTAATAAAATGGCAAGTGGTTTCATCCTTGATTCAAAGTTTAGTCATGTTGGTCTTGGACCCTTGGTTAGAGAACATTTGTTTTAAATGTGAATTCTTATTCGATGTTCTGATACCCACTAACTTTTTAACATAGTAAGAATAATCTCTATGTATATTTCCAATAATGCAAATATAACTTTTTTTTTGCTTTTTAGTTTTACCAAAGTATTTCCACTCCTTTTGAGCTTATTGCTACAGGAATTAAAAGTTGAAGTAGTAGAAGCAATAAGTAAATAAGCTTGGAACGCTGGGCGGAATTTTGTATCACAGATTCACACTTATTACTAATCTGATTATCAACTCAACAATTATGATATAGTTTGGTTTGAAACTAGTATGTTCTAAAAGCAATTTTTTTTGGCTAAACAGGATTGGGACTTGGAGTAGACGGTAATCCTTAATTAGTTGTTCTTATTACAGTTTTATTTCTCGTTTCTACATCCAAAATTTAAATAATATATGTTTCTTTGGACACTAACTCATCTCTGATTGTAATTATTTGTCAGAAATCACTATAGTATCGAACTGATGAAAATGAATGATTATTATGTTTCGAAGAGGCGTGTTAGATCATTAAACCAATATAAAAAAAAAGAGTTTGAAATGTAAGTAGTTTCACTAGTTTGCCTCGACAAATACAACAAAAAAGCCCAAAGAACAGCTCGTCCATCCCTAATCTACATGCTTTCAACGTGAGCCATCTGATTTTGGACTAATCTCGGTCTTAAGTTTAATTATCACATTACAAGAACCTGCACCAAACCGTGTAGCCACACCATCATTATAATGTTTGTGTAAATCATAATTTATTTCCTTTAAGTCGAAGATATTCACATTAGGTTTTGTGAAGTCAAGTCCAAGAGTATCTGTTTCTCCATTCATCGCTAGACGCTACTTGTTTTTCTAATATAATTTAATTTGGTAAAAGAATAAAAATTACTATTGCTTCTATTATATTTTAAACTGGCTCAAAAGATCAAAATTATGCTCAGAATACATAAATGTAGAGTCAGCTTCTGAGAATTTAAGATTTAAGAAGAGTGATAACAACAAAAGAAAGGATCTGGTAAGATGTCCATGTGGTGGGTGGACTAATCATGGTTTTACAACTTTTACTACTAGCTCTATGGTAAATAATCACAATTATTAAATATTTTGCTATGATCAATATGAACCCCCACCGATTCTAATTATTTTGTTATCTCAGCAAAGTCACTAGTGTGACCTATATATCAGCTTTTTCCACGTGACCACATTTTGAGAATTTTGTTTTGTTTTCGGCTAAAGAAGTTAGAGCTTTGCTAATTTGAAAATTTAATTATTCGTCGTAGATTTTCTAGCCCGGTAATGAGATGTTTCTCTAATTTTTATTATTTTTTGCATAAAAGATGTTCAACAAAAATGCATTTTAAGCAAAAAGAATCATAACCAAGTGTACATATGTATATACCACTACTCACTCAAGCAATAATAATTGATATTGGAAAGGTTTAAAACCTGATTAATCTCTGATTAATGAAAAATATCTGATTTATGTTTGCTTGCTATAATTATGATTGCAAATGAAAGAGTATTAACCAACATTATTATTAGTTCTGAAAGTCTCTGAGATTGATATTCCGCTTGTCTAACATATTATTTTTAATGAGGCTGTATTTTTGAATTGTAAAAAGTTGTATTTTTCGTGTAAAACCATCGTGAATGTGAATATGGTTGTTCTTATAATATCGTTCTAACCGAGACTATAAAAAAAGACTAAAATTAACACACCACCAAAATGTAAGTTATGAGTCTAAATAATGTCTAATGACTTAAGTAGATTACATCACCTTGTGAAACCAAACACGCAAGTCGAAAAGCTTTTAACTAGATTAGGTCTTGGTCCTAGTCTCCTAGATTTGGTTTCGTTTATCTCCTCTCCTTGATCCTCATTCCTCAGCAGGCTTGTCTTTGGTGCTCATACGTCCTTGTCGTCCCATCTTTTGATATCCTTCAGTTCATAATTGCTCCTTCCTCGTATTCCCTGTAAGATGTAATACTTGATTGCTTGTTTTATTAATTACAAGAGTTCTCTTTATATAGAGATACAAGACTCATAGGATATACACAAGGCTTAGGAGTAGATAACAACGAACTATATACGAAGTTAATCTACTAATAGAGATAGGAGTTATCTCTAATATTCTACTTATCCTAATATCCCCCCTCAAGATGGTGCACGTGTAGTAATACCAATCTTGGTAAAGAGCATGCCAAACCGGTTTCTAGTGAGTGGTTTGGTGAGACCATCCGCCAACTGGTCGTTAGAGGACACATGAGACACTCGCAGCGTACGGTTCTGAACTTGTTCGCGAATGAAGTGGTAGTCAAGAGCCAAGTGTTTCATTTTTGAGTGAAAAACTGGATTAGCACTCAAATACGTAGCTCCAATGTTATCACAGTATATAGTGGGAATATTATCAAGCTTGATTCCAACTTCTTGCAGTAAAGAGAATAACCACCGGACTTCAGATGCAGCTGCAGACACAGCTCTATATTCGGCTTCAGTTGAGGAGCGAGCAACCCCTGTCTGCTTTTTGGCCGACCAAGAGATTGGTTGTTGACCAAGGAACACGACATAAGCTCCAGTAGAGGTGTAATCATCTTTGTTGCCAGCCCAATCAGCATCAGAGTAAGCATGGAGAGACAAATTGCTGTGGCGAGATAAGAAGATACCAGACGTGTATGTACCAGCAAGGTACCTTAATACTCGTTTTGCAGCACTCCAGTGAGTAGTCGACGGTTTGTGCATAAATTGAGATAGCTTATTGACAGCAAAAGCTATGTCCGGACGTGTGAGAAGAAGGTATTGCAGACTGCCTACAACATTCCGATATTCAGAAGGATCAGTGAGTTCTTCACCATCTCTAACAGATAGAGAAGTAGACACACACATTGGTGTCGGAACTGGCTTTGTATTTGTCATATTTGTGCGGTAAAGGAGATCACCAATGTATTTCCGTTGAGACAGGTGAAAACCTTGTTGTGTTCGAAGAACCTCAATGCCCAGGAAGTATGACAGATCACCAAGGTCTTTAAGGGAGAACCGATAAGACAATTTAGCAATGAGGTCTTTAATAGCTGATTCAGAGTTGCCAGTGATGATAATGTCATCGACGTAGATCAACATGAACAAATAACGACCATTGTTGATGAGAAAGAACAGAGATGCATCAGCTACTGAGTTCCGAAATCCAAGACCAAGCAGATAACTCTTCAACTCATTGTACCATGCTCGTGGAGCCTGTTTAAGGCCATATAATGCCTTGTTAAGTTTGCAGACATGATTCGGTTTGTCACGATCAACAAAACCACTAGGTTGTTTCATATACACCGTATCCGTGAGATTGCCTTGTAGGAAAGCATTGTTGATGTCAAGTTGCTTCACTGGCCAGTTATAACGAGCTGCCTGACCAAGTAGTAGACGAATAGTAGGAGACTTAATCACCGGACTGAATGTCTCATGATAATCAATGCCAGGGCGCTGATGGTTTCCTTTTGCAACAAGTCGTGTTTTGAGTTTGTCTACTGTGCCGTCTGGATTGAATTTTGTTCTGAACAGCCACATATTTCCAATAACATTGGAAGCTTCTTCTGCTGGAACTAAGTCCCATGTATGATTCCTCAACGCGGCATTGAACTCATCAGAGGCTGAGCTTCGCCATCTTTCATCAGCTAATGCTTGCTGAATTGTATGTGGCTCAAGATTGGACGCCAGAGTAGCACTGAGACAGTAGCGAGGATTAGGTTTGACAATCTGGTTCTGCGACCTAGTCACCATCCGATGTTCAGTTGCTGCTTGTGGCGGTGGTGAAGGATCAATAGGTGTGGAGGCAGGCAGAACCGGTGGAGGTAATGTTGGTGCCGCAGGTGGTGAAGGATCAACAGGTGGTAACAACGGTTGTACCCCACTGGCTGGAATGATTGGAACTACTGACGGCGTCCACGGTACCTCTTGACTAGCCGTTGGAATAGGAGAAGGAGCTGTTAAAGAGACAAAAGGAAACTGATTTTCGACAAAGTGAACGTGACGAGAAACATAAAGACGTGATGTTAAAGGATCAAAACAGAGAAAGGCACTTTGAGTAAGAGAGTAACCAAAGAAAACACAAGGAGAGGATCTCGGTTGAAGCTTATTAGTCGTATAGGGTCGCAGCCACGGATAACAGAGACAGCCAAACACACGAAGCTTGGAGTAATTAGGTGAGGTGCCAAAGAGACGCAGATAAGGTGAGTCCATGTTGAGAGTCTTTGACGGCATACGATTGATTAAATACACTGCTGCTGCAAATCCATAAGTCCAATATTTTGTTGGAATGGAGGCGTGTGTGAGAAGTGACAGCCCAGTCTCAACAATATGACGATGACGCCGT